TACACTACCGGTGCATACATTTCACCAGAAGTATTTGCAGAATCCTTGATTGAAGAGTAGGAAGGAAACATGCCTTGCACTGGAGAGTAGGAATTTCAACGGGCTTGGAAATGCCTTGCTAGGACATCTCATCATGCTGAGGCAGCTTAAGTAAAGGAGAACAAGGAATTTAGAGAGTATTTTTTCTGTCCCATTTTCAGTGCTTACCTACAAAATTGTCTTCAGTGGTAGCCCAATAGCAGCCCTATCCTTCCAAAAGCCCCAGCTTCTCAAAAAAAGATGTGACCTACCTTCTGAAAATAGACATCCACTAGTATAGTGAACATATACATTGTGCAGATTTAATGCAAGCATAAATTGATTTTTTTCTGCTACCTGAGAAAAGTTGTGAATAACATGCCGTTGATTTGATTTATATTTTGAGGAATGCTAAAACACACAACCAAGGCTTTGAAATATGGATGCCAAGAAATCTCTCATATTTCTAAACAAAGTTCTGTAATCATCATCCATCATGACTTCTGTGGTTCAAGAGAAGGGTTTGTCTCCCCTGGCTCTTCAGTGGACAATGTTGCTAGGAAAGATTGAGTGTGTTTTGTTGCTGGTGCTGAAAGAGGAACTAGTGAATAATGAAGTCCTTTTCTTCATGCAATGACTTATCTTCTACAATGTAATCATTCAATTTCTTTCAATTGGGTCCTTGCAAAATGGAAGGTAGATTGTGTACAGGGCCATTGAATCAGCTCCTCTTGCAGTGGTTGTCCTTCAAGTGTAATTGGGTCACTTTTCTTGGCTAAGAAGTTCTTGGCTGTGGTCAGGATGAATGCTTGTCATTGAAAACTATTTCCGGAGGCAATAATAATAGTATTTCTGGCAGTTCTTCAAGTAGTTTGTATGTATTGCTTAATCACTTTAGTAGAAGGAAGGAAGGAAGGAAGGAAGGAAGAAAGGAAGGAAGGAAGGAAGGAAGGAAGGAGGGAAGGAGGGAGGGAGGGAGGGAGGGAGCATATAAACATAAAAACAATACACATTAAATGTATTTAAAGTTGGAGTACTTAACTACACAGCTGAATTCCCAGGAATAAATTACAATAGCATTATAACTCTCTTTTAATGTTTAGCATGCCTCGGGGAAGTCAGTGGTATACAACACAGTCTGAAAGTTGAATTAGGCTGCATATGGACCTTTTTCTATCAGTTATTAATGTCCTGTCTAGATGTTTTGGTGTCTAAATATTATTATCATTTTATTCTATCTGTCTATCCATGGACTAAATTGGTGAAAAGATTGACAGTTCCTCTGGGTTTGGCTTCTGTTCCATGGCACACTAGAGAATTCGGACGTTCTGCTCATTTATCAAATGCAATATTTTATTTTAAGCCCAGCATAATTACTTGGATGAAAATTAGTACTGTGCTCTTGCATATTGGATATATCTCTTTAATGACAATTAGCATTCTTCATCTCATTGCGTATCAGAATGATTTCACCCTGTACACTATGTGTGTGTGCACACATGCACATGTGTGCATTCATGTATGCGTGCCTATATTTGCAATCACATTCTGTATTCCTTGCTAGATTTTTTTAGCTTACGTTTTTCTCTGTCTTCCCCAAGTTACTAACATCTAGAACTGAGAGTCTTGCTTATAGTATGAATCGAACTGTGGTCATACGTTCACTCATGCTTTAATACAATTTTGAAATAAGGAATAGTTTGGGACTTATCTTTGAAATATTGAATAATATATAATATGGATAATAGGAAAAGCCAAGTTCATTTCTTAGGTTTTCATTTTTAAAAATGAAAACTACATCTTTTGTTGCTGGATATCTCAATGTACAAATTGTATTTTAATTTTTCTGTTCTTTGAAAATTAAAATGTACATGCGTCACATTGCAGGCACTGCAAAACGTAAATGATTGCCAAATTAAAATGTAATATATACTGTCTCAGATGCAGCTGCATTTAGCACATAAAGAAAGAACAGCACTATTACTTAAAACTAATCTATTAATACAGAACATTCTGTGGAAGCCATCTATCATTTATTCAATGAAGCTGCCTTTATAATAAATTATGGGAATGTACCCAATGATTCTATTAGAGACTCTATTCAGTTTTGTCCTTCTGCTTTACTGTTCATCTTATAGAAGAAACTATAGACAGCTTGTGACTGGGTGTGGGACCGTTGGCCCAAATGGGGGAACAAGATGCATCCAAGCCCAGCCACAGCACCATCCCACCTCAAACCTGAACTATGTAATCATAGATCCTATTTACTGTGAGGATGAGTGTTTCAGGTCTGGAATTCAAGAGCCCTTGGGCCAGCTTAGTGTTCCTCAAGGTGTTGCCTCATTGAGGCTTTCCACAACTTCTGCAAAATTGTCTTTACAAAACTTGTAAACATTTAGCCTTTGAGAAGGGAAGCACACACACAAACATATATACAAACAAAGAAACGCATGCATACTCATGCAGCAAGCACAGAACAGTGGCTAATTCTTAATGATACGCAAGACATGCTTTCCAAAGCTTCTGTTCCTTACAAGTTCATGCAACAAAGTGGTGACCATTGTCATTTCATGCAAATTGCATTATTTAAGAGCTTTATTTGAGTTAAATCATTGTTTTGTGCAATTGTCCTTAATTTGTGCAGAAGACCTTTCTTGTTCTTGTTCTCATATTGTTGAGAACTTAAGTCATATTGTTGAGAACAACAATTTGTGCAGCAAAATACCTCATCTTATAATTGCACAGTTCTTCATCCTCGCCTGGAACAGTAAGACAAGCAGGGATTTACATCTCTGCTGAGGCACAAGCACACCCTTGTAAAAGTGTGACAAGGCAGCAATCCATGAAGAAGAGGAACTATATAGTAGTACCTTATCATAATTCAGGGGCATATTACCCAGCACTACAACACAGTGCATATCTCAAATAAATAAATAAATCTAGGATTCTAGGGGGCAAGTATCTTTCTCTCTCTTTCCCCTCTCTTCTAGCTGCTAGAGAAAAACCAGTATCTGTGAGATGAGGTTAGTGAAGAAATCCTGGCTGTTACTCTGGTGGTACCACATCACCCAACACCATAGGGGACCCTCTTTCAGTTCTAATTCACAGTGTGCTACATTAATCAACATCTTTTGCCAAATGATTAACATGTTTCAAGTCCCATTAAGATCGGGTATGAAAGGAAAAGGCAGGAAGCTGTCATGGCTAATTAGCATATATTTGAATGATCCTGTAATCCAGTGCTGGCTGGGAAGCAGGTGGGGGCTGGGCTGCTGGTTGGGGAAGAGGAGGCGGCTGATAATCAGCGTGGAAGAAAAACTAGAGGAGTGTTTAGCATTAGTGAGAGCTTGATAGAACTGATGGATGTTGTACAGAACATCCTTTGACACACTTGATAGTGCTGAAGAGATTTGATGCTAGCTAGAGCAACTGATGGTGAGATGGATGATGCCAGAGACTGAATAATAATTGCAAATATTTCAACTTAAGCTATGAGAGGGATACATAGATGTAGAAATTCAGGGGAAAATGTGTGTTGTGTAGTATCTCTCTTGTTAAAGGCAAACCGTGGAGCCTTGCACAGGCATCCGACATGGAGAGGTGAAGGCTAAAAGGCTTCCTTGGAATATAGGAAGATGCTTTGTACTGATTTGGTCTTTCATCCATCTAGTATTTTCAAATCTGCCTAGCTTTCCAGGGTTCAACTGGGATCCTTTCTTAGCTGTACCCGGAGATCTCGATATTCCCTGATAGTTTCACGTCTATTTTGCAAACAGGCCTGAACCTGCTTAGTGTTCGAAATCAGATGAGATCAGATGTGTTCAGGGTAGTGCGATGAGAAGGGATCATGGGCATGTAGGCAAGTCTCACCTGCAGCATCTCTATCTGCTTGCTTCCTGACTTTCCTGTGTTGTGGGAGAAGGCCTGAGGGATGCGTCTTCTCACTGCGTGAATGCAAGCAGAACTCTTTGTGCAATTGGACCCTTGATAAAGCAGGGTTCTTGATCACATGAAGGCTTGATTGCATGGGGAAAGGACTTTTATATCTGTTCCATCCACTTCCCATTTGTAATACTCTCAGGCACAGGGAGACCACTGCATGGGGTTCCTGGATACATGGAAAGAATAATTTGTAAATCATAGGCAAACAAATCATAGTGGAAAATGAAGTACAGGTTCTGCTGTTGGGAACCTGGCTTATCTCAAGATCTTGTGATAAAAGGACTTTAATTGTAACTCCATTAGGAAAGTCACCATATCACCTGGGTTTGTTGAGAAGTTCTGTGTTAAGATTTTAACAAACTCATTCTTTTCTGTTTTTCTTTAGCTCTAGTCAGTTGGAAGATACTCTCTCCCACTCTTTTATGAATGGAAAGTGGCGAGTCTGAGGAGGGAAGCCTCCATTTTCCATGGAGATTCTCCATGTGGGTTGGGATGCTGATTTTCCACTCATGATTCAGATGGAAAGGATCCTCTCTAATAACATTTAAATTAGTTGACAAATAACATTACTTTGATTTTTTTTCTTTTAAGGAATTATAAGGGATTATAATTAATTATAATTAAGACATTATAATTTCTTATAAGGCATTCTAGGGGCATCTTGACAGAATTTTTTTTAGGTTTTATGCTTCTCTCTTCTCAATCCTACGTGGCAAGGGAATTATGATTTGGTTTTGTCACTATTTCCAAAGTGCAGTTTCAGAATTGGCTACGAGACATTATTTGTCTGTGTTTCTCTAGCCTGTTGCCCATGATACTGTAACTCAGTAAATAATGTGCAGTGCAAAAAATTACCTGACCAGTTGCAGCAAGGATAACAGCAACGTGACTACTGAGAAATGGGCAATGCAACCAGACCCCTTAAAAAGAGAAAACATGTAGTTATAAAGGGAATGGACATCCTGTTAAGTTTGAAATTACTGATGACAAGACCTTGTATAGTGTTTTTTGTTTGTTTGCTTTTTTTGCTGTTGTTGCAGATCGTGAACGGATTGGCCAGGACTCTGCTTATGAACAAGAAGGAAAAGTGCAGTTTGTTATCGATGCTGTTTATGCCATGGGCCATGCCCTGCATAACATGCACAAGAACTTGTGCCCTGGGAAGGTTGGCCTCTGCTCTAAGATGGACCCAGTCGATGGTGCCGAGCTGCTCAAGTATATCCGTAATGTCAATTTCTCAGGTCAGTCAAATTTTGTGGGCTTATCTTCAAGGCTAGAATATAGTTGCCTGGGGGTTCATGATTAAACTTTTGAGAGTATGCATGGTGTTACCCCCCTCCCTTAAGACACACAAATCTGAGTAAATGCTGTCAAGCTTGGTTTGTAACCCTCCGTTTGGTTTTACATCTTTTATTTGGAAACCTACAGGCTTAGCCTGAGTCAGTTTCCCTGCCTGATTTGATCCAACTCTTGTCTAGAACCACTCTTGGTTAAAAAATCAAGTTCTTTCTGTGAGAGGCTGTTCATATCATGCTCTTAACTGTAGTCAAGCCTCTTCCTTTTCTTGAAGCCCTGGTTCTCTCCATTGTACCTGAAGCTGAAGCTAGGGCATTGTCCCTCTAGCCCTGATCCTGCATGGTAAGAAATCAGGCCTTTCTCCTCATTCTATGCCTGTACTTGGAAAATCTTCAGCAAAATTTGTCTGTCAGCTACTGTTTAAGGGACAGAGTCCTCCTCTGAGTGGCAGAAATAACTCTTTGGCAGATGACTGGCGCTTGCCCTTTCTTTTATCTTTATGAAGGGAGTAGCTCTTTTCTGTCCTGGAGTGGTGATGAAGATCGGTAATGGATGTCCCTGGAAGAGGAACTGTTAAAGGGGGTACTTAGGCACTGAAGAAAAAATGAAATTCTGGTTCATCTCTGCATTTGTCTTTGCCATGGCAGTCACAATGCAGAATGGGGAAATGTGTACCCAATTGCTCACGATGAAATCATGGCAGAGCAATACTGCCAAGAGTTCATTTTTCTCAATAGCTTAAGGAATCTGCCTCTCCAAGCATACAACAGTGGCTGCAGATGCAAACCCCGGGGAAACTCTCCTTTCCCTCAATGTGCAAAGCTCACAAAAGGATAAAGCAAATATTTCTAGATTTGTCTATGTGATTTGGCCATCCTAATTACTGTAAATCACTGTATTGGAAAGGGGCAGATATATTTTTCAGTATCTACATCTAGATCTAAGCTATGTGGATGAGTAGACATCTGCAGTTTTATAATCCTGTTTATACAGATTGCCAGGGAGTATGTAGCAAATCCAGACTGGAGTTGACATTTTCTAAAGTCCCATCACAATTCTATCCACATGAACAATCCCTTATTAATAACTCTCATTTATTTATTCTCTTTCCTACCTTTTTTGGTCTCTCTTTTGGCACAAAATGTTCCCTCTCTGATTAGTGATTCCTTCACATCTTCTAGAAACTCATCACTTCCTCTCATTATATCTCTTTAATATACATCTTCTGTCCCTGCCTTCTTATTACATCTATTTATCTCTCCTCTGCAATCTCCTCACAATCTGGTTCTCTTATTTATTCCCTCCCTATCTTCATGTTTTATTTTTCCTGCTTTCTGAGGTTATTGGGATTTATTTGTGCAATTCATTTGATTTTGTTCTTAGATAAACTTTTGAGACAACAATAACAAAATCAGGAGAGTGTCCTGCTTTGGGACAACTAGCTGAATAAACCACTGCAATTAAAGATTTCATAGTGTTTCTTATCTAGTCACATCCTTCTCTGGATAAATACATCCTGACTGCATACCATAAACTAGCATACCTGATTATTTGCAACTAACCAACTGTCTGTCTCCTTTTAATTGGTCTTGTCTTTTAAATTTATATTGCAGAGGAGAGTGTCCTGCTTTGGGACAACTAGCTGAATAAACCACTGCAATTAAAGATTTCATAGTGTTTCTTATCTAGTCACATCCTTCTCTGGATAAATACATCCTGACTGCATACCATAAACTAGCATACCTGATTATTTGCAACTAACCAACTGTCTGTCTCCTTTTAATTGGTCTTGTCTTTTAAATTTATATTGCAGTATACCTGAAAGTACTAAACAATCTCTCTCTCTCTCTCTCTCTCTCTCTGTGTGTGTGTGTGTGTGTGTGTGTGTGTGTGTGTGTGTGTGTGTGTGTGTGTGTGTGTGTGTGTGTGTTTGTAAAAGTTACCAGTAAATTGAATTTCCTTGCTTCTGATCTGGTAAATATATCTTTTTAAACCTTTGCTTTGGGAAAAAATTGCCCCTATTTTTCCTTAAAACCTTTGAAAAATGGGTACAGCAGAGTTGCAGCTTGGTGAGACATAGTCTCACTACTACTGTACATGGTAGAACACAGCAGCAATTGCTTCACCCACTAAATTGTATTATAATTTTGATTGCACAAGGATAAATTTGCTGTGTTGAAAGGAGTGATCGAACTGGAATAAATTGCAAGAGTCTCTCTTTGTAATACAAAGTTTCCATAGGTGACATGCACAAGAAGTAAAAGCAATCCTTATTGTGGCTTCTAGCTGTGATTTTCCATTAACTGTATATTTTAAGGTCCATCTGCTTTACAAACAATGCTTTGGAGTCATCTGTCAGAGTGGTTTGCAACCTTGGGTCCCCAATTTTTTTTTGGACGACAGCTTGCAGAAATTCTTGCCACCACAGCTAGTGGTGTAGGCTTCTGGGAGCTTTAGTCGAAGAACACCAGGGAAACCACTGATCTACCAAGACCCAGTACAAAATCAATGGGCAGCTTACAACAATTAAATTCAGTTAATTGTTGTAAGCCACCCAGAGAGTTTTGAGTAGTGTGGGCAGCATATAAATAAATAAATAAAGAAATAAAGAAATAAAGAAATAAAGAAATAAATAAATAAATAAATAAATAAATAAATAAATAAATAAAAACCCTGCTGAGAAGAGTCTCTTCTTTCTCCCTACTTACCTTGCCTTCTTTCTTTGTGTTGGGAGTGGAGGGGCAGATAGCAGAACTTGGCAAAGTTATTGTTTTAGACTATAACTCCCAGAATTCTCCTATCACATAGCAATTATAGCCCCAATTCTAGGAGTTCTAATCCAGATAAGTAGCTTTTTGTTATTATGCCTGTAGGTGGGGTTGGTTGGACTGAACCACTATTGGCCTTCAACAGCGTAGGCAAGAGGGAGGGATTGTGGGAGACACATTCCAACAAGATCTGGGAGGCCACCTCTGTTTGAGACTCTCCTGCCTCCTGTTTTAGAACTGCTCCACAAATCTGGATCTATTTATGGCTGTCTTAAGAAAACGGTGGGACTTGTTCGCATCGGTCTAGGAAATGCATATGTGTTAGCTCATCAGAGAGGGAAAGAGCTGTGAAAGAGAGCAAGAGGAAGGGAGGTGAATGCAAGTGTCCCCACTGCCTTCCTGCTCACTTTAGGGCTCTAAGCAGCTGGTATGGATGCCGAACCAAACACTCGACTGCTCCTATGTTGGAGAATTGTAGCATCTCCTTCTCACTCTTCTTCATGCGCTACATCCCTTGGTGCTCCCCCATGACTGTCCCCTGTGCCCATGAGCGGCAGAGGTGTCAGGGCGAATCATTCAGTGTGTACATCATGTGTAACAAGCTGACTGCAAAGGCATCCAGCACAGTGCTGGACAAGCAAGCCATTCTGCCTCCCGGCTTGCTTTTTAGCTTGCTTGGATCAGTGTGCATGACTGCAGGTGGTGTTGCAGTGCGTGGCTTGGGCAAATTGAGCCCAGTGAGAGCAGCTGTCCTCTCGTCCGTTTCATTCTAGGGCCCGTAGTTTGCAACAGAAAGATCTTTCCCTTTCCGTTAGAAAATGCAGCAGTACAGTGGGTTAATGCTGGCTGGGGCTGCACCTACGCGTTCGTATGCCAGCCTCACTGCAGGCAAGATAACATAAGGGAGACAAACATGAGCATATGCAACAGTTCAACTTGTGAACCTGCACATGTGCTTTTAACAGGAACACTTGATCTGCAGCAATGATAACATCCACAGAGTGTCAATCAAAAGCAGGGAGAGCTGTGCTGGTGCTAAACAGATTCCAAAAGCTATACAAAGGTGATATCTTTATTAGGTTAAACAAAAAAGGCACTGAAAATGTGCAAGTTTTAAAGCTGATTTCATCAGGCAACATGTTATATAAGTACAAGGGTGAGGGAAATTCAGTCTTGAGTCCTTGTTGTCTTCCATGTCAGAGGTAATTTGACAGCACACAACAACACAACAGCACAGATATCACCCACATAAGATCTATAGTGGTGGTGGTGGTGATGATGATAACAATGATGATGCCATCAATCTGTGTTTTACTTCACAAAATTAAAAAAAGGCAGGTTTCTGCCTCAGGGAACTTAAGAGTCAAGAGTGTAAGGGAAAGAAGGGAAGAAAAATGATTCAAAGGTGTGAACGTTTCCCACTTCTCTTTCTGGTGAGTTCAAGGTATAGCCCTAATAATTTTTTAAAAACTTCCTTGGGCCCTCCATGGAGCCAAGGAAGTGTTTAATTTGCCAATATCCTGGAGTGTCTCTCTTTTTAAGTTATTTCATGATTCTGACAAATTAAGAGGAAGGCTCACTTTTATTTCTTTTCTGGTGATTCCACGTGCTGGAAATGGCCCAAACCAGAGCCAACGTACTGACATAAAAAATGTAGATGCCCCTGACAGGGGCCAGAACAGTGCAGGTAGCAAAGTTCTGAAGACAATTTGGTTCACTCCAGTAAATATAGTGTGTGATCACTGTCAAAAAGAGTAAACTAACCAATCCCCACAGTGGTCCAAACAGTGACCTAATTGCCTTTCCTTTCACTCTCCTTTTCTACATATGTAATGGAACAACAGGATCTTGCTTAAACTTTAACAGTAAATCAACCGGAGAAGGCTATAGAATCATCCTACTTGCTTCTGTATCCTTACCTCATCTACTGCAAGTAGGCCACATGTGAAAAAAAAACAATTGCACTTATCAAGTCAGGAGTGGATGGAATGAAGAGAAGATTAAAGGTTCATTGCTGTTTATGTTGAATTTTGACCCCAAAACTCAGCACTGACCATGAGACTAGGCAGATTGAGATAACTGTGGAGGCCTGGAAGCGGCTTGTGTCTGCTGTAGTGATCTGTGTAATGTCTTTCATTGGCCTCATTTTGGTGCCAAACCAGAACATGGTTGTTCACCAAAGCTGCTGTAGCCCTACTACTTAGCTTGACTGATTTGCAGCTTTTTGTTTTTACTGGATATGATGTACTGTTTCAAATGGCTAGAATCTTCTTGATGTTCGCTTTGGGTTTCTGTAACTTGTCGTGGCTAATTATATCTATCTGACAAGGTGCTGGGGAACATCTCAGTTGTGCAGCTAGACATGAGACCAGGCACAGGACTGAGATGTGCCCTGGGATCTCATCAATCAGATACAATTTGCTGCAGCAAGTTGTCCAAACCTTAAATAAACTGCAACAGCATTCCCAACTTTATATTGTTTTCAGCTATTCTAAATAGTTGCTTACTTGGTTTTAAATTGTTTAATGTTGTTTTATTGCCACGTGACAGAAGAGGCTGGTGGCACAGTGGTTAAACTGCTGTACTGCACCTGAAACTGTGCTCCCAACCCGAGTTCAATCCCAGGTAGCCGGCTCAAGGTTAACTCAGCCTTCTATCCTTCCGAGGTCGGTAAAATGAGTACCCAGCTCGCTGGGCGGGCAATGTGCAGTATGCATAACCAACTTCTAAACTGCCCAGAGACTGCTTGAAGCGCTATGGGGCGGTATATAAGCAGCACGCTTTGCTTGGCTTGGCTTTATTGCATAAGATCTTTGAATATTAAGATGGTCTAGAAATGGCTCAACAAATAATTTGAAAAAAGACTTGATCTAGACAGCCAGTTTAGGGGCTTATGAAAAGATAGCAGAACATGGTGAATTTCTCCTTTTTTTGGACTGTAACTCTCAGAATTCTATATTCAGCCATACTGATTGAGGATTTGGGCAGCTGTGATTAAAAAGTAACTTTTTCAACCCCTAAAAGAAGTTGTTAGTTATGTAATTTATTATTGATCTTTTCAAAGGCCCTTGTGCAAGTTTCTATTTCAATTGCCCAACTAACTTTGCCAATCTTGGCTACCACAGAGCTGGGGGAGGTAAGAGAGGATTTACTAATCCACCTCAGTGAACAAAATGTCTGGATTAACCTTGTCCAAATTAATATACCAATGGAAGAGAAAATGTCTGTGACTAACAGATTTAGATTCTCCTGTTGTTATTTTACCTCACTCTGCTTTGGTGCTTTTTCAAAGCATCAGGTATTTAAACTGATGATGAAGCTTTATATAGCTAATCATTTTATCTCTACCCTAGGAAAAAAAAGAAAAAACCAACAACCCTTCTTTTTGAACTGACCTCTGTAGCTGTGCTTTTAATGGAAGTTTGATCTTTTAGAATTAGTGAGTGAAGTTTTTCCAGACAGGGAGATAAACATTATTACCTGCTAATTGCTGCAAATCAAACAGCTATTTATATAAACAACCACTGGCTCAAAAGCTTGGTCACTATACCTGCTCTGTATGCACTCAAGATTGTCTCTGCTTTGACTTACTACTGGTTGAATTTCATTATCTCCACTCCCTATTGTAGAAGACAACAGGGGAAAACCCGGACCATTGTTACTAGTCTGTACTATGTCATTTATGATACCAATAATAGGATGGGCCTTCTCAGCCACACCAGACGCTGTTCCAGGACCTCTATTCAGAGCACGTTACCATAGTCTCTCAAGACTGAAGGATGCCTACAACAGGATGGGACAGAAGAATACTTGCCCAGATTTTAGGAGATAGGAGTACAAAGTAAACAACCTTATATTGAATTTGATTTCTGCTACATCTAGCCCAGTATTGTCAGTTTTGACAGGCATCAATGGCTCTCCCGAATTTCAGGCTGTATTTTTATCTTAGCACCAGGGTGGACTTTAAAAATCAGATATTTTTGAAGATTTAAATAAAATATGTTGATTTTTAAATTTAAATTGTGATTTAAATAGTGATCTTTAAACAATCATTGATTTTTATCCACCCTGTTCAGAACCAAAAGTTCGTTTCCCTCTGCCTTCTGAGAATTCTTCTCACCATGTTCTCTTTTTCTCTTTAACACATTGTGTGCTTGCCTTTGATGTGAAAGAAATTCAGCATAATGCTAAACACTGCAGGGCAGAGAGTTTATTTTACCTGACTGCTTTAAAAAGAAGCAGTTTATCCATTGAATATTTGACAGAAATGGCCAACCAGGTCTCTCCAATAAAAATAAATAAATAATAAAATAATTTAAAAGTGGTAGAAAGGAATTGATTGTGAAGGCCAGTCCCTCTTCCTCCTGAGTCTTTGAGTCATGTAATTAACTCTGGTCTAAAGAGGCTAAAAATAAATTATGTGATTCCTTAATTCCTTATACTGTATATGTTCCTATGGTTATTATAGAATTTGCCGTTTCTTGGTGTACAATAAGATTTTCATTTCAGGGAAAGTCTTTCCATAGAATTAAAAAAAAAAGAAAGAAAATCTGTTCATGGACAAAGGAGGGATGATCCAGTGATGATGCTGACAGAACATCTACAATTTTTGAGAATTCTGTTTTGTTTTGCCATCCCTAGTGGTTGCCCATCCAAATACAAGTCAATCCTTTACTCTTCTTAGTTTCCCAAAACAAGCATATTGTATTTCAATATTGGTAGTTGTCTCTTGTAGCTACCATGATAGCTCAGTGAGTTAGGGATGTATCTGCTGAGCCAAAGGTCTGGAATTTGATTGTCCTCTGTGCATCCCAGAAGAGCCAGCCTGTGTAGCCTTCAAGAAGCTGCACAGTCCCAGGATGCCCCCCTCCCATCCCAAAAAAGTTAATGGTAAACCATTTCTGAATACTGTGTACCTACAACATTCTGAAAAGGGTTGCCATAAGTCAGATGTGACTTAATGGAACATAGCTGCTATGAGTTGACTCTTGGGCATGACATGCTGTTTGGATGCACAGTATAAAGCACTGCAAAGGGTATAGAGGCAGCCTAATGTCATGCAAAGATGGGTCAGAATGTATGCTCCACAGAGTATCTGTTTTTCAGCACTTGCTCACATTCAGGCTCCTTCTAGCCACTGCATACGGCTATTTGAATTCATGAAGAGCACGTCCACCTGGCTTTATATTAATGTGTTGCTATTTTCTGTCTCTGGCTCTGTGGTTGAATACTGAGAAGGGATTACTACTCTCAGTGATTGAATGATGTAGCTTCATGATGTACTGTCACTATGTATGGATTCATTGCTCAATCGCCTGGGGAAGAAGAATATGCCTGGACATCCAGCAGGGGTGTAACAATATACTGGCAGATCAGGCGGGAGATGAAGGAAAGGAGGCTCACATAGTGTCCTTTCAAGCGTGCTCTATGTATGTAATGGAACTGATTGAGTGAATGACAAAAGAAAGAAAAATGCCATTTTCTTTGTCCCTTTTGCAGTTTGATTCCTAGCTGATCATTTTCCATAACCTGATGTGAACTTACTCCACTCCACTTTTTCCCCTCTTTGCTCTTCTAGTGCCTATAACAAACCTGACCACATTTATGTAAGTGATGGCAAATGCATAAACTGAGCCTACGCTTCTTGGATATCCTACTGCTGTGTTGGACAACCATTCCCATAATCCATTTGGCATGACCATGTCATTGGTGGCATATGGGTTTTGTAGTCCAGAATATCTGGAAAGTGCCAGATTGTTGGGGGGGGCTGTTTTAGTGGAAATAGTGGAGTTGCAGGTGTGTGCTTTCCACCTTTCAGATTTTATGTTCAAATTATAACTGTGCTTGGAAAAAAGAAATTCAGGACATTTTTTCATACATGTCATGAAAAGGCATATTGCTTTGTGTGCCATTTATAGAGGCTGTTAATACAACAAGAGAGGATTTAGAAAAGGAATGGAAAGCATGCTGCAGACAGTATGGGTTTCACAATGGCATTTGGAGTTGGTTTGAAGCAAAAGTGATTTTCGACTCATTTTTGCCGAAATGGTCTATTGATTCTCAGAGTATATAACACCTAACCTGGTGGATACCCTGATTGACAAAAGGGCCTTCTGGTCTCTAGCCCAGTACGGTACAAGTATACTACGGTATGGATTTTCACCATGTAATCAGAAAGATCAGAAGGATATCTCTTGGCAATACAGGAGCTGAAAAGTAAGATGGATGTTCTTTCTGTCCTCCTTGACCAAGGCAAAAAAGAGGGTGTGGGGGTTACGTACTTCTGATAAAGATGAAGTAGCAAATTCTTATTGGGATAGAATTTATCCAATACAAAAGATGAGATGATTAATTCAGAAGTGGGGCACTATTTTTACTGATAGGCAGATCTGGACCGTATTTCTTCAGTGGAATGGTTTATGTGTGTGATGCATAGTTTTGCAAGGTTGGTTAACCTGTTGAATTGCATTTCCTGAATGGCTCCTGTCTGTGTGCAATAGACATGGAACAACGTTATCTCTATTGGAGCAAAATCTAACTAAAGTTGAGCATGTTCATTTAATATTAAGACCTGAGAACTTAATAAGCCAGATATATTTAACTTTGGCTGGATTGCAGGAATCCAAGTGTGTATGGGCCAGTATGTGTCTGTGTTTGTGTATGTGTGCACCTAAGAATCTATTATCTCTGATATCTTTCTGATGCTAAATACTTTCTACCTTTCAGGTATAGCTGGGACCCCGGTGACATTCAATGAGAATGGAGATGCCCCAGGTCGCTATGACATTTACCAGTATCAGATAAACAACACCACACCTGAGTACAAAGTTATTGGACACTGGGCTGACCATTTGAACTTAAAAGTAAGCAAGATCTTAGGTTGAGAGCAGTTACCAAATATGTAAGGGAGACAATGGGTTGAAATGCATTCTTCTAGGCACAGTGACCTCTTAATTGTGAAATAACAAAGCTTTACTCACGAAACATTCCAACATCAAGAGCCCTAATCAGAATGGATTTATTTGTGATTGATCACATGAGTATGGGCACCAAAGAGTTTGAAAAGAGTGAGAATTTTGAAAATGTTTAGCACTGGTTTGTCTCTGGTGTGGACTGTTCAGGGCATGAGCCCAGTTCGCACTCCACACATATGAAATGAAAGGCTGAAATATTGGAGGGTCGAGAGGTGGAGATAGATTCAGGAAATACAGAGTGCCAAAGTATTGTACTTCCTAATTTGATGCATAGGTTATTAATAATTCACTAAGCAGACTGAAGATTTAAGGGCACAATCTCAATGGGAGAGAATTTAGTAAATCTTTTAACCCATCTCTTGCTCCCGATACTTAACCCTGACTGCCAGATCCCTAACCATTCCACCAAGTTGTTTTTCAGCAGAACGTTTCTGCAAGTGGAATCCGAATTATAAATGATTCTGTAATTCTGGGTTGTTTTTTTTCAAAATGTCATTCTATGTATATTGAAAGGTATTTGGGTTTGGCAGTGTCCCCTGACCCCCCCCCCCAAAAAAAAAAGGCTGTTAAATGAGAGGACAACAAACTGAATGGCATGGACAGAGATGGAGGACAGAAAGAGGAAAAGTGATTAGGTAACAAACAGGCCGCCATGAAGGATGTCCTGCTGCAGAGCAGGAGTAACTGATATGTATTCGCTGATACATACTCCACTCCCAAGCAAACTACACCAGAGCACAGAGTGCTGTCCTCTGAAGATGCCGGCTACAGAGACTGGCGAAACGTTAGGAAGAACAACCTTCAGAACACGGCCAGAGAGCCCGAAAAACCCACAACAACCAGTAGCTGATATATTTAGGAGAGTCAGTGTCAATGAACTCAAGTAGAAAAAGCATCTGCAAGAAGTTCATGTTATGCAGTTGAGTATTGCAGAAGGAGGTAAATTAGCAGGGTTGATGCATGGGCTGAAAGCTGAAGGGTGCTAAGGATTAGAACAAGTGCAAATCTCTTAGGGAACTGGAGGGAGCAGGAAGTGTTATGGGCTTCAGCACAGATGAGAACGGGGTGGGGCACTTCTATCTCTCCAGATGTTGCAGAATACAATTCTCACAATCCATTCTGATTGAAGCTTATGGGAGTTTTTAGGCTGAAACATTTGAATGGTCAAATTCACATTGAGAAGCAAAAGCTGAGATCATTGGAAGAGCATTTTGGTTCAACTGGTGCTGTGCAACCTCATTCCTAGTATATGCTGGCTCATGCTGGTTAGCGAAATGTTCATTCTCTTTCTCTCTTTGCTGTAGATGGAACGCCTGCATTGGCCTGGGGGAGGCAACCGGGTGCCCACTTCAATCTGCAGCCAGCCATGCAAGCCAGGGGAAAGGAAGAAACTGGTGAAGGGCATCCCCTGCTGCTGGCACTGCGAGCGCTGCGATGGGTACCAGTATCAGCAGGATGAGTTCCACTGCAAGGTGTGCCGTCTCAGTGAGCGTCCGAATGAGAACCACACAGGCTGCATCCCTATCCCCATTGTCAAGCTGGAGTGGGGCTCCCCTTGGGCTGTGATGCCCGTTTTCATTGCCATTGTGGGCATCATTGCCACCCTCTTTGTAGTGGTGACGTTTGTGCGCTACAATGATACCCCCATCGTCAAGGCCTCTGGGCGAGAGCTCAGCTACGTGCTATTGACAGGCATCTTCCTCTGTTATGCCACCACCTTTTTGATGATTGCTGAGCCTGATTTGGGCATCTGCTCCTTGCGGCGTGTCTTCCTGGGGCTGGGCATGAGCATCAGCTATGCCGCCTTGCTAACCAAAACAAACCGCATCTACCGCATCTTTGAGCAGGGCAAAAAGTCGGTCAGCGCCCCGCGCTTCATCAGCCCAGCTTCCCAGCTGGTTATCACCTTTAGTCTCATTTCTCTGCAGCTTCTTGGGGTTTGCATCTGGTTCATTGTGGATCCTTCCCACTCTGTCATCGATTACGAGGACCAGCGGACTACGGACCCCCGCTTTGCCCGGGGAGTCCTCAAGTGTGACATTTCTGACCTATCGCTCATCTGTTTGCTTGGGTACAGCATGCTGCTCATGGTGACCTGCACTGTGTATGCTATAAAAACCCGTGGGGTTCCTGAGACCTTTAATGAAGCCAAGCCCATTGGGTTCACCATGTACACTACCTGTATCGTCTGGTTAGCCTTCATTCCAATCTTCTTTGGGACATCGCAGTCAGCAGAGAAGGTAATGGAGAGAGGGTAGGGGTGGGATGGGGAGAAGACTGGTAGATTTGGTCTTCTTTTTCTAAGCTGCACATATGATGAAGTATATCTGGAATGTGTGAATAAGTGCTGGTATGATGTTCTGTCTATCTCCTGGAACAACAGAAATGATACTTTTCTGCATTTGTTTGAGATTTTCCTGTATTATCCTGCACCATTCTTTTTCTTCATACTTGCAGTTTCTCTGTCTCCTGGGGTACCCCTATTTTACTCTCGGCATTCTCTTTTATTTTCCTTTCCATTGGCATGTTACTGAGTCTTTCCCCCTCTATTTCAGCTGCCTCATTACCTTTTGTTTCCTCTGGAAGATAGGCAGTGTATGCTATTAAACACTTGGAAGAGGTGTCTAACAGAACTGTGGCCCACTGGAAGGTTTTATTGTCTCATGCACTTCTGTCACTCGAGTGGACAGATACGCTGTGTAGCATCAGACACACAATGCAACATTCTGGGAGCCAGAGCTATTCACTTTTTCTTTTCTTAAAGCCAGGATTCTAGTAAATTGGAATAAGTGACTAATTAATTTGGCTGCTTCCCAAACATTCTCTGGTTCTTTAGAGTTTTATGCCTAGCTGCAAATGTCCTGAAAAGTTCTTTATGAAAACAAATACAATGTGGTGTATAAAAATCTTCCGGCAACTATTATATCGTCTGTATTGCGAACATAATTGTTTCCAGCTGCCACGCAAGATGGAAGACAAACATGTGGCTGAAGGTGCAATGGTAGTTGCAGAGACTGGATGCTTGTCTGTGTGCATCTGCAAATCAAGTCTTTGAAAAACCAGTCCATACAGTCAAGCAATTAACTGTGACCATTAGGATTGGCATTGGTAGAACCTCCAGTTCCAAACTAATGAGCCACTTTCAGCCTTTGTATGTGGTCCAGATTGAATGAGAAGGGCCAAAATTTGTCCTGGGGTGAAGCAAAAGTCCTGGGGTACTTCGCTCTGATCTAGAGAGTCAGACCTTTAAGATGTGTGGGGAGAAAAACAGACAGTGTGATCTCCAACAAGATGGTGTGTTTGAGAGAATAGTTGGATTTACTTATAACTTTCAATCAGAGGCAAGAGTTCCACCGCTATTCTTTAATCTGTTTTGGGGAGAGCATGTGTGAGATCACTAAAGTTACATATTCTGTGGTCTCACATATTCCTTCATTTGCCAGAATTAACAATATTAATGGAAGTCAAAGAAAAAAGACTGCTGGGACCATAGTTGTCTTATTATAGACTGAGTTTAATCTGAGTAATCGTCTTGGCAATGTTACTCTTTTCCTTAATACTCCCTTTACCTTTCTAATTTGTTCATTTAAACCAGTAAAATCTGTGTGTATTTTATGCAGTGAAACTTATTTTATCCTGTCTCCACCCTTCACTGCGCCTCTCTAAGTGGCCCTAGTTGTTAGATACCTGATTGCTTTCCTCCATATAGTTCACTTAAAACAATTTTTTCCTTTCCCTCCTTCTCTCCCTCTCTGTCTTGCTTGAACGTGTATTCAGTGGTATATTCATTTGAATTCTGTCAGTAAGAATACTTATTTTTATTAACAATGGACATATATTATAATTACATTGAAAGTCGATTCATATTGTCAATGTGAGTCAAAACAAACATTATTATTTTTAATTTTTATTGCACTTTTAATTCACATTTGTGTGAGTGGAAGAATTACATTTAATTTCCAATCTAGTATATGTCTTCATTATTTTATCTCATGTATATGGTTTACATGTTCAGTTCAATAGTTTTTATTTTATTACTTTTATATCTGATAATTAGTTTAATTGGAGCCAGTCTGGTGTAATGGATGGAGTGTCAGATGAGCACTCAGGAGAGACATGGATTCAAATTCCTACCCTGCTATGGAACCTCATTGGATGGGATGGGATTGGTAAAACTACTTCTTAAACATCTCAGATACTTTGAATACCCATAAATCAGTAGCAATTTAACAGCACTTAACGCACAATCAATCATGAGGAGTCTTCACAGCAGTAACAGGGAAATATATATTACCTCTACAGTCAGAATGAAATGGTGAAGACCTGTATGGAAATTGGAAAAGTATACCCATTCCTTTGGCTTAAAATACCCCCAAACAATTCTACTCTTTTATAATTTATTTATTTCTTATACAACATACTGAATATCTCTAAATACTTTATTTTCCTAAGAAAGCAATAATTTTTTAAATCCTAAGTTTGGTCTCTTGAATAGCAAATTTGCAGAGCCATAGCGTGAAGGGCCATGGAGTGCTATGAGAGTCCTTTTTGCCTGAGCTTTGTTTGTCCTGGTAGACTCCAAAGCTCATTATTTTTATCTTTGTTTTTTTCTCTCTTAATTGCTTATTAGAACAGACTTGTGGAAAAGGGTATGTGTCGCTGCCTGGCTGGGTTACCCGGATTCTGCTCATCTTAATTAGGAATGCACTTACTCTCTGTTCGACCATCAAGAATCTTTTAGGAGATCTTGGTGCTGACACATTTCATTTCTGTGCTGCCTCTCTCTCAGTGAAGGGACCCAAGGCACCTCACAAATGGTTAAAACAAGTTGAGACTACAGTGGTGCCTCGCAACCATTTAATGGCTTATTAGCATTACGACAAACTTTTTGCGATCACAGAAGTGATCGCTTTACGATGGTTTCAATGGGGGAATTTCGCTTTGTGATGATCGGTTCCCTGCTTCGGGAACCGATTCTTGCAAAATGACAATTTTCGGCCAGCTGATCGGCAGTTTGAAAATGGCCGCTGGGTTAAAAAAAAATGGCTCCCTGTTCTTTCTGGGACGGATTCCTCGCTGCACGGGCAGCGAAAATGGCCGCACTATGGAGGATCTTCGCTGGACGGTGAGTTTCAAGCCCATAGGAATGCATTAATCGGGTTTTAATGCATTTCTATGGGCTTTTTTATTTTGCATTACGGCGTTTTCGTTCTACAGCGATTTCGCTGGAACAAATTAACGCCGTAATGCGAGGCACCACTGTATAAGCAATTTTATTTACAATGTTAAAAAACAATTGAACGTATAATAGTAATGCATTATCACATTATTTTCCTACCTACAATTAGCTAGGACTGCGTGAATTAGAAGGAAAACAACCTCTCCCACTCCTCTTGTGTAAATCATCATCATCATCTGCCAGTTTTGAAGTAAGGCCATCACCATTCACTCACTGCGTGCTAATTTATTCCAGATTATTCCTCTTGCATGGTCCAACCATTCCTATACAATCGAGCTAATAAATGTGGCTGAAGGCAAAAACAAGCAAGAGAAAAGCATCATGCTCAGAACTGGAGCTGCCTTAAAATAAAGGCTGTTTGATTATTTTTCTGTGAGTTTCCCCAACTCTGCAAGTTACAAGTTATTTTACTTTGATTATTGGTCCTCAGGAGTTAAACAATGTTTCATTTTGATGTTGATTATGCAGACATGACAGCTTGAAAGAAACGTCTTTCTGGAGAGATACTGTTTCATCACTTTCTAATTGCAAAGCTGCTGTCTTCTCTGTGTCTGCCCTCTGACAGTGTAGAGGCAGCATTTACCCTCACTTGTTGAACTGTGTGCTTCCACACGCTGTTATGGCTGTGTTGCTAATATTTTAATTAACATTTGGGGCGTTAGCAACTCTGGGCTCTTATGATTTGATTCCACCACAGAGGGAGAGATGGCACGTCCTGCAGCAGGAGCAGCAGGAGCCACAGCAGACCAAGAAAATGAAATAATGCCTTCATTCTGGGCACCACCTTCAGTGGCAGATTCGGCTGTGCTAGAAAATGACCCAGAGGAATCCCATTGTCTAACTCAATGTTAAACGTGACTTGGCAGGCAGTAGCGAGAAGGCACAGATTGAGCTTGAGTCACAGCTGGTGTAGATCAGAATAACACCAAAGTCTGTGATGCCTGTTTTGGCCTTGGTAAGAATCTGTCCCTTCATGCTCTATTTGTAGTATAAAGAAATGCATTCTTTTGGACCCTGAGCATCCCTGACCTAACATCACTTGACATCTGTATAAATCTGTTTTAAGTACAGTTTTAGAAAAGGGAATGTGCAAGTGTTCCATCAGTTACAGATGTTGTGCACCCAACGTGTTTATGGCGCATTTGGGGGATTCCCCCGTCAACATATGGAGGTAAATCTTCACTTGTCTCATCGATGCAACCATAAAATTATGCTTGCCTGCATAACTACATGCAAGAGAACCCACTATTTTGTGGCACCCAGCCGAAAGAAGAGAATGAGAATTATTTATTTAAACAATCAGTGCAAATGATGTGTTAATGTAAATAGTGTGAATTGGGAAGTGGCCATAGCTGCTGCTTTCTTCCATGGACATTTAATTATTAGAAATGTCTGAGGAGTTGTTTGCAATTTTGAAAAACAACAACTAGCCAGTTGTTCTGTGCTTGTTCTTGGTGTGTGCTTTGCTTTTCAAAGGGAAGGACACTAATTTTGAGCAGGGACAGTTTCACAAAATATATTGACCTGATCTGAACAAAAAAAAATCCAGTTGTTTCTGTCCACACTTACCTTAAAGCAAGGAATCCTGTGGTGTTTGAAAATTACTCATTAACATGTTTAGTCAGGTGATGATAAGCGAAATCAAGCAGTAAGGATGTAGTGAGAATTTTTTACCTTGTAGAAATGGATGGAAATTGTTTGGTACTGATTTCTGATGTTGCAACAACCCTTTTACTACGCTGTACATAATTCTTGCAATAGCTCATAGAGCAGAGGTGGGAAACTGCTGCCAGCTGGGTGTTCCTGGGTGGCCCCTCTCATAATCCTTCATCATTGGCCATGATGATTAAGAATAGAAGTTGTAGGCCAAAATTATCCAGAGGGCCATAGCTGCTCACCCCAGCTATAGAAAGTAGATGTGCTTTCTTGCTACAGTGTTGAGATATTCTCATCATTTTAAATTTGACAAATCTCCCTACTTAGAGGAAGGCCTGGAATGTC